TCGTCCCTCAGAGCAGAGGTAGATTTGCTACTGAAAGGTTTTATGAATCGCTTTCAACAGTGGAGGGGCTTTTCCATTGTGAATATTTCCTTTTTCACAACCAGACCACGGCTCTGTACCGAGACTGAGTTTTTAGCAGCTTCAGCACAATATTCCAAGCAGCGAATGGAATGAGTTTCAAGTTCTTTCCGTGAGGTCTGGCTGCTGGGAAATTTGTCATGATAGAAGAGTATTCAGATGGGCTTCCGCTCTCCCTGCGACCACGCTGAATCATAGAATCATAGAATATCAGGGTTGGAAGGGACCTCAGGAGGTCATCTAGTCCAACCCCCTGCTCAAAAGCAGGACCCATACCCAATTAAATCATCCCAGCCAGGGCTTTGTCAAGCCTGACCTTAAAAACTTCTAAGGAAGGAGATTCCACCACCTCCCTAGGCAACGCATTCCAGTGTTTCACCACCCTCCTAGTGAAAAAGTTTTCCTAATATCCAACCTAAACCTCCCCCACTGCAACTTGAAACCCTCGCCGAATGGCGTTCTCACACACACTCACAGGGGCGGCTTTGGGGACTTAGAAATTTTACTGGCTGGGACAAACCCAATGGCTCCTGTTCTGATGGAATATTTCTCACGATATTTGGGGGTCTTTCTTTAAGCCCCTATTCTTGGAGGTCTTGTAATTACAGGGGAATCTCAGCTTTCATTTTTTAAAGAAAAGTAAGAGCTGGTGTACACCCAGTCCTTGCCCTGGGAAACTACGTCATTCACAGGGGTGATTTTATATGATATAGTTAAATCAATACAATCTCTACTGAGGACATAGTTGAATCAGGACAGAGGTATCCTATGCCAGTATGGATTATTCCCCTTCCTTTGCAGAAATATATTATACGGGCATAAGCACCTTTAGATCTAAGGCTATGTCTACACCAGGGATCAGCAACATTTGGCACGCGGCCCATCAGGGAAATCCACTCGCTGGCTGGGCCGGTTTGTTTACCTGCCGCTCCCACTGGCCGTGGTTCACTGTTCCAGGCCAATGGGGGCTGCAGGAAGCAGCGCGGGACGTGGAGGAGGGAAGGGTGTGGGAGCGGTCTGGGCCCTGTCTGCATTCTCACTCTTGTTCTGGGAGAGCCACTAAGTGCATAGTGGTTCCCAACACCCTGAGGGTGCCGCAGTGTAGACAGGACTGACCCAGCTCCCATCTGAGACCTGAGCTGCACCACCCCAGGGGGGTCTGCAGAACCCTGCACTACTTGAGGGAAGGGGAATGGGGATCAGAACTGGGTTCTACTGCAAACCCCATTCAGGTGTTAGCCAGGCCAGAGTCGTTCTGTCCAGGGATCAGATTCTGAGGCTGGTGGTTTGATGGTGCAGACAGGCCCACAGACGGGGAGGGGTGAGGGAGAACAGGCCACTGATGGGGAAACAGGATTGCTCACCCAACTGTTCAACAATCATGAATCAGGCTCAACAAAACCCAGAAGACTGGCTTTAAAATCATGAGATTATGTAAGAACAACAGCTTTGGGGTTCATTTTATTTCCCTTCTGCTTTTTGAGCCTTTAGGGTGCAGTGGGGGTCACATTTTGAAGCTTCCTCCACAGCCACGAGGGCAAGAAACTTCTTTTTCTTTGAGAATGAAGGCTGAAATCATCACTTCTTCACTTGACTCCAGTAGCTGGGGCTTTAAGGAAAACAATCATTATCACGAGCGTTGGCAACACTGGGGAAGGGGCAGTGACCAGCAACGGGGGGCAGCCAACTAGCAGAGAGAAAGAGAGAGAATGGGACAGAGATAAGGGAGTTACAATGGGGTCGTGCAACATAGAAATGCCAGGGACAAGAAGTTTTCAACCCCCTACTCCTTCACCCCAGGTCTGATTTCTCTGTATCAGGAGACATGGTGGCTGCTGGGGGAGACAGGGCTTTTGCTGGCAGATGGGCCCCTCTGCCTCAGTGATTTCTCCCGCCCTACCATCTCAGACCCCCTCACTGCAAGGAGCCCAAACTTCAGTTTTGCCCTGCACCCACTGCCCAATGTTGTTTAAAAGGGGTTAAAAGTGAGGCATATGTGTCTCGTGTTGCAAATGTTTCAGATCCCATTCTTTCTAAAATGAGTGGGAATGACAGTCAGAGAAACGCTCCCACCCAGCCGGGGCTGAACAGAGGAAGCCGTGAGCATGGGGACCAATGCCTATCTTATATAGGTGCCTATTACCCCCCACCCCCGTCCCGATTTTTCACACTTGCTGTCCGATCACCCTAGGCCCATTGAACTGAATTCACCCCCATTACACACAAGGACCAACGTGACAGAGACCTTTATCTACCCCTGACAGGGTCCTACTCAGCATTACCTGGTGGTGGTGATGGGATGAACTGGGGGATTTCCAGGTCCTGTCAGGGCTATTAACTACCTTATCAGACTCCCAAAGAAAAGGCAAACCCAGGAGCCCAGTGAGTGCGATGGGGGCCAGTGAGCGGCAGGTATGTCCCGGCATTTCCTGGCCCGGGGGAATCTCCGCCCATGGAGGGGAGCAAAATGGCCACAGGGGCAGTGCGGGGGCAGGAGTGAGAGCGCCGGGACCCTGCTGTATGGGCTGCTCTGCGCTGCAGACTCAGCCGCATTGGGGGGGACCTGGTCCCAGCGCGATGGAGGGAGGGGTGGGAAGAGCTGGGGAAGGGGATTCAGTAGCTGGACTAGGGGAAGGGGAGTGAGAGCCCAGCCCCAGGGCTTGTGTGAGCAATGGGCCCACTTTTCACCCCTGGCCACACAAACACACACCTCCTCACCTCTGCCTTGGACCCCGCCCCTCCTCAAACCTTCTTCTCTAGGGAACACTCAGCCCTTCCCTCTGTGCCTGGAGCATTTAAACACGGGTCAGTGCCCCAGGGCTGTGCAGTGCATGAGCTCCTTGGGCAGGGCCATGTCTGTGGGGCTGTCTGGGCTGCAGCCAGTGATATTAAGAATCACAGTAATCCTGCCGGCAGCGCAAAAGTCTGTGAGCTCGCACATGGTGGGAACCACAGTTCTAGTTGGCCTGTCCAGGGCTCTCTCTACACATGGTGGGAACCGCAGCCCTGCTCATGGTTCCCAGGCAGAGCAAAGGGGGAATAAAAGGCAGGAAGAGGCAGAACCCCAGAGAGGGGATGAGAAAAGGGCTCCCAGCATCGCCGAGCACAGAGCGTGCAGTGAACGAGAGGCAGGAATTCAGATCCTTTCCCTACATATTACTCACTCAGACACGGAGCACAGTGCTCCTGGACTTATTCGTTATTCCAAGGGTTTTTCCAAATAAACCTGGAAACAATCTGAATGTGGGAACCGTTTCTGACTGACCCTTGTCACAAGCTGTAATTCCTGGTCCCTGATTGTCTGAGTGTAACTCTTAGAAATGAGGTTTACAGGCCATGACCCCCATGGGGGGGACAGGTCGATGACAATGGGCTGGGTGCCTATGTAACCCCCACACACCTGCTGGGTGTGGGGTTCTGGCCCATCTAGGGGCACCAAGACCACTGAGAGACTACCTGCTTTCAACTACCTGAGAGGTGGTTCCAGAGAGGATGGTTCTAGACTATTCTCAGTGGTAGAAGAGGACAGGACAAGGAGTAATGGTCTCAAGTTGCAGTGGGGGAGGTTTAGGTTGGTTATTAGGAAAAACTTTTTCACTAGGAAGGTGGTGAAACACTGGAATGTGTTACCTAGGGAGGTGGCGGAATCTCCTTCCTTAGAAGTTTTTAAGGTCAGGCTTGACAAAGCCCTGGCTGGGATGATTTAATTGGGGATTGGTCCTGCTTTGAGCAGGGGGTTGGACTAGATGACCTCCTGAGGTCCCTTCCAACCCTGATATTCTATGATTCTATGAGACAGAGGTAAAATGAGTCTGCTCTATGTTTAGCCTTAGCTAACGGCCAGTTGGCTTTTAGCTCATGTGGCAGAGGCTCCCGCCCTAAGCTCCAGAGGCCCCAGGTTCTATCCCGCCCACTGACGACCGTGTGATACCTACATCACGGTTCTGCATCCCCGAGGGCTGAGCCCCGTCTCCTGGCCCAGGGAAGATGGGAAAACACCAAGACCCTTAGGCACTGGCCTGGGGCCCCTTCTGGTGAGCAAGCTGTGACACAGGCTAGTTCCTTGCTGACTCTATTGCTCTCCGGATGGAGCCCTGGAGGAACCAACCTCGTGTGACTCCAGTGTGATTCCTGTTCTCGTCTCCCCAGGACTCCAGACTCAGCCAGATGCCAGTGCGGGTGAGGCGGGACCAGGCCCTGGAACTTAATATCTCAGGAGATACAAGCAGGGGATTTGCAAAGGGGAGGGGCCCAGCTGTGGTATTTTGGGGTCGGGCCTGGGGGACAGCAAGGCAATAGGGGGAATTCAGAGAAGTGGTTGCAGCAGCCCCAGCAATAGGTGACCAAGGTGGGACTGTGGCAAATCATTTTATCCCTAGGGGGGGCTGGAAGAAATTGGAACTGGATAGGAGGTGTCTGAGACAGCAGGGGAAGGGCTGGCAGGATGTGGGGAGAAGGGCAGAGAGGAGCTAGGTGGGAGGTAAGGAATCTGGATCTGAATCCCAAGGGCTGCATGGCTGGAATGAACAATCCCGGCTCCTCTCACAGATGGGTTGGGGACTGAAGAAACAGATTCCAGATGTGTCTGTGTCTGCAGGTTTCCTTCACCAGAACGAAGCATAAAGAGAAATAACAGGAGTGGCTGGATGATGGTTCTGAGAGAAGGACGACCCGGAGTAGAGGGGGCAAAACGTCACCTGAAACGGGCCCCATGTGTCAAAGAATAACTCCATTCGTTGAACCCTGTGACCAGCGTGTTATCACGCAGGAGCCTCACTGAGCGCTGCCCTGTATTTGGAGAAAGGCATCACCAGCCACGTGCACGTCATTTATAGGCATCCTAAGGAGTTTCATCAGGCTGATTCCAAGGAAAACAAATTAACTGTCGCTGGGGATTGTTTTCTATAGTGAGGGACTGAAAAGAAAGGGAACAGTAACTGTGTTTTATTTAAATGTCCAAAGTACCTCCCCATCCATTTATATAATCCAGATCCTGTTTTTCAAACACACACACACAGGACACCACATGCCCAATGCCAATTGCAGAGAATTACTGTAGAACTGTGCCCTCATTGCTCTTGACATTTCTTCAGGAGGCAAAACCCCGGCCATTCGTTAATTTCCCTTTGAGTTCACTGCACTCTGCTGGCATCTTAACCAAAGGTTACAACCGCGAGAGAACGCGTTAGGGCTCTGGCTGAACTCCCTGAGCTGAATGCCTGTCTCTCTCCAAGCCGCTGGCAGCTGCAGGGGCTGCCAGATCCCTTTAGACTGTAACGATGAGCCATCTGCAGCTGGGCAAATGCTGTCTTATCTTCTCTGGGTGTTGGCTGTGGCTGCTGCTCCTCTTTGCAAGGAGGAGCTGTGCTCTGCTAGTGCAACGAGTTCTCCAGTCTCAGCGCTCTCACCATCACTCACTGATTCACACACTCAGTCCCTGGGTTCCCATCCCCCTGTGCTCAAACACAGGCTCTTCCCTGCCCAACACCCATCTCTCCTAGTCCCTAAACACTGGATCGCTCCAGGTGCCTGGAGGTCTTTGTGAATAAAGGGCACAAAAGGTTCCTCGGATACCCAGTCCATAGGACACTGGCTGGGGAACCAGGCAAGATGGGGGAGACGATTCCACTGAGGCAGGGAATCCCAGCAGCTGGGAAGGTGGACGGGCTGATCGGGCCTTTTCCTTTGCTGACCCAGGCAGAGCCAGAGGAGGGCTGCTGTCTCCTAACAGCAGAGATGGGTAACCAGACTCTGAAAAGTCAAACGGTGACGACATTTGTGGAATCAGCAAATATATTAACTGTCCAAAACCTTAGTTAATGCAGAGCTAAGGTTGCCCGGCGCTGCCTTGTGCCCTTCCACAATGTGGAGAGTGGCTAAACTTACACCTCTAAAATCCAAGAAATTAAGGTAAATGTCATTCCCACTGTGCAACCTTAACTCTGCCAGTGAAAGCCATGTCCCCCAAGGGAATCCTCAGGGCAAGGGTGAAGCCATGGGAACATGGGAACATTTTGTCGTTCTGGGGTGGTTTGTGTGGGGCACGCTCAGTTTTTGAGTGTAAGTGAGAGCTGCTCACTGTGCCTGACCTACCCCAGAGTCTTCCCTTAGCAACAGAAGGTGGCCGAATTTGTCCTACACTGCTCATCAGTGCTCTATTCCTGAAGTGTTCTGTCACATCTGCAAAGGTAGAGAGCAAATGTGTGTTATCGGTATGTTGGGACTTCACTCAAAGAGGGCAGAGTTAAGGTTATGTTGTGGGGGTAGCATTTACTCTAATGTAATATTTCCTGCTTTTCATGGGGGTTAAGTTTGCACAGGGTTTCAGAGCAATCTGAATGGTAAAAGCAGCTCCTTACTGGGAGGCTGTATCTGAGGAACCCCGAGACCAAACGACCACAACCTCCCACCACTAGCTCTGCCCCCAGCCCAGATGAGGCACGGCAATTTTCAAGACAATCCAAGTCCACAGGTGGGTTTTAGAGCACACAGGAAAACTGGCAGTTAAAAAGGAAGCTAGTCTCAACTTTAACTGCAACTGCTCCGGTCTAACCCACTTCAGCCAGCCCTCATCAGGCCACTTATTCACTTTCTCCCCAGTGCGTTCTCAGATGTCTACTGCGGGTTGATTTCTGACTGAAGCTTTTCCCGCACTTGAGGCACTTATAGGGTCTCTCCCCAGTGTGAACTTTTTGGTGCCTGGTAAGGTTAGAGCGCCGACTGAAGCTTTCTCCACACTTCAGGCAGGTATAGGGTTTCTCTCCTGTGTGAGTTGTCTGATGCCTAATAAGACCAGTCCTATCACGGAAGTTCTCCCCACACTCAGGGCACTTATGAGGTTTAGATCTCTCTCCGGTGTGGATTCTCTCATGTCTAAGAAAGGATGACCAATTACAGAAGGTTTCCCCACACTGAGAGCATATGAAGGTTTTTGCTTCTGTGTGGACTCTCTGGTGGCCAATAAGGTGTGATCTCTCACCGAAGCTTTTCCCGCAGTCAGGGCACTTATAGGGTTTTTCTCTCGTGTGGATTTTCTGATGTTTTTTCAGGGTTGGGATGCCAATAAAGCTCTTCCCACACTGAAGACATTTATGGGGTCTTTCTCCTGTGTGGGTTCTGCGGTGTATAATAAGGTATAAACTCCGACTGAAGCTTTTCCCACACTCTGTGCATGTGTTTTTCCTCTCCCCTTTGGAGGATTTCTGGTGCATCATGTTTTTACTAAGATTCTTCAAACCACCGTCACGTTGAGTGGATTTACCCGCGTTCTTCCCTGGCTGGTTTCCCTGCTGTCTCTCTGGCCTGCACTGAGACCCACCGGCTTTTCCGTGCTCTGGACTCCAGGACACAGTCCCTTCAGATCTACCCAATAATGTCCCGTGAGTTTCAACTTGCTCAAGATCTTCCTGCTGAGGGTTCTCTTCCACATTCTCACTCACCATTCCCTCACCTGCTGGGACAGAGAGAGAGAGAATCTAAACATGAGTCATTCCCTGCGCTGGAGGAGGAAAGGAGAGAAACAAACCCAAATAGCACTGGAGAATCTGAAAAATCAGGAACAAAATCCTCCCCAAACTTTTCCCAAGGGAGAGAGAGAAAGGGACAAATCTGGACACCACATCCCATCTGAAAAATCAGAGGTAGTGAGGGCAGGAGAGAGGGCGCTACTGCCAAGTGTCTAGAGTTCTAGGAACAACTCTGACCTGGCTAAGATGAAGCAGACCCTGGGGGGCTTTAGAAGTAGGGTTGCCAACTTTCTAACTGCAGAAAATCGAACACCCTTGCCCCGCCCCCTGCCCCAAGTCCCCACCTCTGCTCACTCCACCCCCTTCCCTCCATCACTCGCTCTCTCCCACCTTCGTTCACTCGCTCATTTTCACTGCAAGGCCCGAGCAGGCACCAGTAGAAGGCCAGGAGCTGCAATAGTTTGAATGTGGGAGATGGAACGTGTGACTCACATAGCCTTCGCCTCACCAGGGAGAGATTTTAAACACTACTTTTTAACTGCGTCTGCAATGCAACGAAGATACAAACAAAATAAAACAAAACCAGGTTTAATGAGCGTGGCCAGTGAAGTGACTTACGTTCATACTTCTGCTCTTGTCTCGCTGCCACCACAAGCTCCTTCGCTGCTTTTGTCTTCAAAAATCCAGCAAACTCGGCACACGTCATTGTGTAGTTGAAGTGCACGAATAGCTCAGCTTTCACCGCGCCCACACGGAGCCGATTCCTTTCGTCAGTCCTCAAGTTCTTCATAACACTGAAAACGCGTTCCACAAAGGCGTTGGTGGGTGGTACAGCAAGCACATGCTGCACAATTTTAAGTAAGTTCGGGGCCTCCCAGCGCTTAAAGAATTCTACCCACACCTCAGAGACACTGATTCGACGGCGGCGCTCTTGTTGCTGGGGGGACAATGGCAATTCAGCATCATTTGTCAAACTCTTTAGGGCTGGTAGCGCATCGTTCAGTGAGCACATTTCTGTAAATAGTTCATCTCCGTCTACTTGAATGTCCCAGTTTGCAGTCAAAGCACACAGTTTGTCTAGCTCAAGAGGTCCGTCTAGATTGAGTGGTGCACACAGCACATAGAAAGAGTTTTCGCTGAAATCAAACCACTTTTCTAGGTACTGCAGCATGCGTGTGTAAGCCCGTTGGGCATCTCCAACAAATTTATTCTGCTCATTAGGTGGCAGTTTCTTCAAGAACTGTGTCGCCTTGTACCCATAGAAGCCTTGCTCTTGTCGATTCTGAATCTCTCTTCTCAGCCTGTTGAATACACCATACAGTCCAGTTACCTGAATGTAATCACTTTCAAGAACCTTTACGGTGTTGTTAAATTGGCTCAGAATGTTGTGTACAAAGTAGACGTACAGCTCGGGAAGTGTAACCATGTCATCATCGGATACTGCGACCTCCTGCTCAGAGAGGAAGGCCCATATTGCGCAGCTCACTTTTTCCTCTCCTTTCTTCACAAAGTAAGATTTGAGGGCAGGCCAATGCTTCAGTAACCTGTCTACGGCAGTGAAAAGGGTCAAAAAATGTGTAGGTACATGGCGTAAGATTTCCGAATAGTCTGTCTCCAGGAAGTCAAAGAACTCTTTAAGCTCACTAATGTTCTTTGCACTGGACGAGAATTCACTGAAAACCTTGATGACCAAGTTCTCTACATCATAAGAGAGCATTTTCAAGCCATGTTTTGCTGTGTTGTGCACTATGTGAGTGCTGCAATGCCCTGGCACAAGATTTGGTAAATCCAACATTTGTTTTAGGTGCACCAAAACAGACTTGTGCTTTCCAAAATTGACAGATGCGTTGTCTGCTCCATATGCCACAATTTTATTATGTATCAGACCAGCATTTTGAAGACAACTTCTTACGTTGTTTGCGATTGCCTCTGAGGTCTCATCTGCATCCTCGAAAAAGTCTAGGATACATGTGCAGCTTCCCTTATCTTTATTAAAGTAGTGGAGGGCAACTGGGAATAATTTTGTGTTCCCTTTATTCCAAGCATCTGTCACTATTGAGAACGATGCTGATCCAATGTCTTGCACAGCCAGTTTTAATGAATGAGGGGCTAATACATTCTCAATCAAAGCCTCCGCTTTTCTCCTTCCACAGTGAATTTTGGAAGCTATCTTGGAATCAGTGAAAATGGAGGGGTACAGTTTATTTCCACAGTCTTGAGAATGGTAGCTGTGGTGGTGTTTAACTCCATGGTATGTTAAGAGCAATTCAGCCGTGCACACCTGTTCTTCTTCGGAGGTATCAGGCAATACGAAGAATTTATCGATTATATTGGACTGGACTTGTGCTCGTACTTTGATTTCGTGACCCGCTGTCTCTGCATGATGCTGGATAGCTTTTACAGAATCAAACTGAATCTTGAATTGAACACGACAAATAGAACAGTATCCCGACTCTTCACTTGCCTTTGAAAGCCAATTCTGATACTCTGGGAGTTGCAACCACTCGTCTTTAAAAGAGCACAGCCTTCGAATCCTTTTCTTTTCGGGTTCCGCCATTTCACCTCGCACTAGTGTGACGGCAGCACAATTTAGCTGATAGATAAAACAGTGTTGACTGTGGATGGGGAAACACTAACTACATTACTGACCGTTGATGCCGGCTGGCTTAGCTCTTTAAAGGCTAGTTGATCCCTACTGCTTCTGATTGTAGACTGAAAAAGTTATTCAAAGATTCAATCAAATATATTGTTTTGACAGATATATTACGCTAATTTTAGGTTTTATTTTTTACAGCACACTAGAAAATGATAGAAAATTATTGTAACCGGACTTATGGTGTCCGGTCAATACTTCTGATTGCACAGGTCCCCTTAAAACTGGACTTTTTCTATTCTATTCTATTGTATTATATTAGCCTCTATAATTTGTCATAAGCTATTTTCTGTTTTCAGTGGAGCTAAAGTTAACACAGGTGTTTTGACCAGCGTGTGTAACATCCGGTTCTGCAAAGACCTCTCTATATTTGCATCAGTTCAATTAGCACCACCCTGCGAACAGCATGAAACTGCAGCCGGCACAGCAAACAGAAAACGGCATGCTTACAGTGTCACCATTTTTCATGGTTAGTACAGTTTTATTAAGCCATGACAAAATGATGTGAGAGCTATAAGATAACAATATCATTTACTCTGGATACCAGCTGCTCTCAAGATTCACAAAACAAGGCACTAACCTGTTGATATATTAACTCAACTGTATTAAGATAATAGAGTCAGAATTTTGTTTTAACCTTTAAGACAATAAAAAACCCACCCAGAAGAGAGCAGGGCATAGTTTAAAAAATATCTATCTGCCATATACATGGTAAGATGGGGATATTCAATGGTCATCATCCTGTCCTGACGCTTACATTGTCACCTCATCTCAAAATATCGCCATATTGGTGATGGGCAGTTGCAATGGGGTGCTATTTTTATGGGTGCCAAGTAACCTTGAGACTTCTGACCATACCAAAAATGGTGGTTTACTTGCACAATCTGGAATGAAGGCAACCCTTAATTTATAGGATTTGGACCCTCTGCTAGAATAGTGGTTATTGCTAAATGCTATACAAAAGAAGAGGACACCGGTTAACTGGAGAAAATGTATGTAATAACTAAAATCCCCACACACACACCCCAAAAGCCATGTTTTAAAGGTTTTATATACATATAGATAAAGGAAAACAACAGTACATTACATGTAAAATTGGTTATAAATGGCCCTAGGTAGATTTCAGTAACATCAAACTGCATTCTGCTAGCTAATTATCATTATGATTAAACATCTACCTTAGTGCAAAATACTGGGTAGGCGCTTTAGGACTCAGACTAATCAAAAAGCAAGATTAATCACTGATGCAGGTCACCTTTTCCATAACTCAGTCGATACAAAGCTGCTACTCACTGCTTTTTACCACCGAGTAATTTATATTGGAAAAAACAAAAGGATCTGAAATACTGGATTAATTACATTCCTATTACGTGGGGACCAGCCAAAAGTCTCACCATTCCAGTGCAAAAATACTAGCTGTATAGAGGACAGAGAATTAGATTAAATCCAGTGATATATCTTCTAGGTTATATCTTTTATAAAAAGTGCAACATGATTCCACCTTAAGAGCTCGGCACATTGAAGTAATGTTGTAAACATTATTTATTTGTATGACAGTAGCACTTACACCAGACAATTGCGCTAAGCAACGTACACGTCTGTAACATACAGTCCCTGCCCCAAAGGTGTTACCGTCTACATATGAGACAAAAGGTGGATCTAGCGAACAGACAGGGGGAGCAACGGCAGTGCAAGCTTCTCTGTGTTGCCCTCACCAACGTGCCTCAGCTGTGCGGTGGAGCCTCCCAGCCATGAGGTATCTTGTTGCTCTTGATTCCCACTTCTGTCTCTTTGCTGGGAGTGCCAGTTGTAACACGAACATGGGACTGAACCTAGGGCGTGATGCTGCAAGCCCTTGTTCACCTGAATATTCTTATGGAACCGAATGGGACTAATTACTGGCCTACAGCTGGATTCACACCCTTGACCTGAAGAGGAAAGGGTCTGGCTCCCACTAACTAGTACTCTGAGCCTCCTAATCTCCCAGCCCTTCATTGTTGGGACACTGTTCTCCTCACTAACAGATAAGGCTACATTTTAGTCCTAGGTATTTTTAGTAAAAGTCATGGACAGGTCATGGGCAGTAAACAAACATTCACAGCCCCTGGCCTGTCCATGACAGTAACATTCCAACATGGCCCCAAATGAACTGACAACAGGGGCCCTTGGAAAAAATTCCATCCCAAGGAAATAAAAATTCTCAAAAAAGGAGGAGAAGGATTCAGCAGGTCGACCTCAGGGGGATAAAAACAGCTGGTGACCCCGAGTCCCCCAAGCCTATTTCTCACAGCCACTGGAGCTCCCCTACAGAACAAAACTGAATTAGCTGGAATTACTTACCAGCTTCTAAACAGCACACAAGAATGAACTAGCATACAAGGTAATTAGCTGTACCACAAGGCCATATTACTCACTCACCCATCCTTAGCATGTTCTCTGCTCTGCCACCTGGTTATCAAGTACCCCTCTGCCTGCTGCCACCCCCTCCCAGACAAGGGTTCATATTTAGCTCCTGAGTTGGGAGTTAGACGCTATCATATCTTGTGTGGGCAAGGTTTTCCTTATAAAAGAGCTTTTCCTTTACCAAGAGTGCTCAAAAAGAATTTTAGAAATTAAACGTCAGAATATGTACTTCAGCAGGGTTGTTGTTAAAGATCATGTATATTTTCTTAATCATGTATGATTGTACGTTAATGTCTCTTTTGGTGCTAAAAACAACTTTTTGAACATTAATTTTACTTACATTTGCTGTTTCAAATTTAGAAGCAGAAACAGAAATCCTGAATGATTCAGCCTGAATCGTTCTGTTCTTTGAGCTGGACTGCTCCACTCTGTAGCTATGTTTCTTTGTCTGTGTCACCCATCACAGTAGTATCTAAGCACATAAATACTAAATTACAGGACTTTTATAATCTCACTGTGATTTTTACTTTGAATATCACTCATAAATACATGGCAATTTCAGCAATGGTGGGACTTTTCCAAATCCTTGATTGGATTTAAAGTTTGAACATGTTTTTAATTATATGGCCTGAACACTAAAGGGAAATCTCAGGAAGGAGTATCAGATACTGTGGTGGCTAGAGCAAACATGGCCCTTAATACCAAAGGACAGAACATCTGGGAACTACTAAACTTGCTTTTCATTCCAGCAGCTACAGGACCTTCATTAATTTCTTGTGTACTGTAGTTCATTTGGGAAGTTTTGCAGCTTTAACAAACAGGTTTGACACTTGCTTAATTCTCATCCCCAACCTCTAGCTTGCTCCCTGGCCTGCGGAGGTTAGCAAACACAGTGGGGGTGGCAAGGGTTAGCCCGTAGCACTGCTATAGGCCGCAGACCCAGGCAGGGCCAGGCCACTGCACCAGGGCCCAGGATCGGCAAGAGCCAGAGGTCCGAGACCAGAAGGGCCCCACTGGTGAGCTGGGAAGAGGCTGAGGGACGCAGCACCGACAGGATGTGGGGCCCTACAGGGGAAGATGTGCAGGAGTCCCTGAAGGCCACAGAGCCCCGAGAGGGGCTCTCACATCTGCCTCCCCTCCAGCAGCCCCATTCCCAGAGCCCCTTGCAGCGCTCCAAGATGGGGATACCTTGAGCTCCTGGGTGCTGGCGACGGGGAGACAGAGGGCAGGGTCACCTCCAGGGCATGGACCGCAGCTCAAGCCTTGGCCAATGGGAGCTGCTGCTGCGTGGGGGCAGCACGTGGAGCCCCCCTGGCCACCGCTCTGCCTGGGAGTAGGACATGCTGGCCATTTCCCGGGAGCCGCGCGGAGCTGGGCAGGGAGCCTGCCCAGCCCTGCTGCACCTCACCAACAGGCCCTTAACGGCCGGTCAGCAGTGCTATCAGCCACCAGGGTCCCTTTTCAACTGGGTGTTCTCGTCGAAAACCGGACACCTGGCAACCCTATTTAGAAGGCGCTGGTGGGAATTACAGCTTCGCTTGCTGATACTTAACTGTGTCAAGTGATTTGATTCCTCACCCTCTCAGCAGCTCCCTTTCCTTTCCCTGGCTTTTCACCCCATTCCAACCGGGAAACCACATCAACCCTGGAAATCCTGCTCAGGGGAAAGAGAACAAGCGAGACCTGATGATTCTGCGGGATATTTCTCACAAAGCATGTTCCGTGATTTTAAACCTGAGCCCGTTATAAAGCAGTACAATCCTAAAAACACACTCAGCAGTATGTCTTCGTCAGTCACATTTCTTTCCAAATACAGACAAATTCCTTCAGTTCAAAAGGTGTATGTATGGGAGGGGAGGGGGATCTGAGAACATGTTATATAAATATTTTTAAAATAGCGGGAACGGGGGCAAGGTGTGAGGAGCTTTGTTTTTTTTAATCAAACTTTGAGGATGAGATGGAAAATGGCAAAATCTGAGGAGATTTGATATTAATAGTCGATAACTGGAGAAAAATGTGAGGGGATTTTATATCCTTATTCAGTAACTAGGGAGAAAAGAGGCGACTCAAGGGGAATTTAGATCTGTACTCAGAATTGAAGAATTCAGTAAGTAATAGATAAGATGGTAAGAAAATTGCTTTGTTGCAGAAAGCACAACTTTTAGCACACACCACAAATGTGAGTGGTGTTGCGACCCCGTGCACCAGGTTGCAACACCCACCTTCGTTCCCTCTAAGCTGCGTGGCCACGCACCGGGCTCTCAAGAGCCGCCCAGGCAGGTGGGGAGAGGTGCCCCTCCACCGGCCCAGCCCAGGCCCACCAGAGCTGCCACTCTGTGGGGACTGGGGGACGGTATCCATCCCCTTTGGAGGGTACAGGACTCTGCCGCCCACCTGACACTGAACAAGAGTTTAGGGCCTGTTTGTGGTACTGACTGCACCGAAATAGCTATTTTAAACAGCCGTGGCCATGACTTTTGAACAAAAATACACCCACACCCCCAACTTTCTTACAGCATTAGTAAGAGATAATTAGAGAGAAAATGTACAAAATCTGGGGAGATTTTATCTCTATCTTGCGTAACTGATGCCCCCAGGTCAGCCACCGACATGGGCAGCAGGGACCTCTGGGTGATGCTGCCTTAACAGGGGCAGGGACAGGATGAGCTGGAAGGTCCCGGGGCAGTTGGGAGCGGCAGGAGTGGAGCACGGACAGGGGGTTGGCAAATTGGGTCAGCGCAAACTGGGGTTCGTCTCAGTTGAGGACACTAAGGGACAGATTTTTAAGCAATATTTATGCGCCGAAAGACACAGATGGATGCTTCTGAAAACCGCACTAGAGACCTATCTGCATGTTTAGGCACCTAAGTCCTTTTTAAAAATATGGCCCGTACTCCAGCAATGGAGGAGGGGCCGGTGATTGGCAGCTGGGGTCGGGGATCGAAGTTGGGCTGAGGGGAACTGTGGAGTTGGGGTGTGGCAAACGGGCTGGGCAGTTTATTGATATTCCATAATTTGGGGAAATGGGGCACTGTCTGCAGAGGATTTCATATCAGTATTTAATGAGTAGTTGGGAGTTTAACCCAGTCACTCAGGGTCCAGCCAACTGCCCCGTTAGCAGCCGGGCAGCACCACTCCCCCGTGTTCTGTTCTATTTGGTCCTTACAGCCCCTCATGCCTGCAGGGTCCCAGCACCGTCTAGCTGGGCACCAGCCACACGTCTCGCATTCGTCCCCTGGGATTCTCGCCTGCTCCCTCCTCTCCCCAAAGGGGAATTTCCATGAGGTTTTTTAAAATGTAATTTATTATTTGTGTGTCTGTGGATGTGATGCTTGTCGTCTCTGCGAATTACTGAAGGCAGGTGTAAAAAGTGCACCTGGCCCTGGGAAGGCAGCATGGGGATGCTCTTGTCCCACAGCCTGGGAGCAGCTCCTGAGAAAGCTCTATCTCCAGCCCCAATGAGCTCTACCCCACCTGCTCACGGCTACGCTGTGCCCGAGGAACGGAGCTGTGGACCATGGCTCTTCTCCTGAAGCTTCAAATGATATTTAGGTCCCCTGGGCCCAGACCACTGAGCAGCAGAGACTGAATGGGGGGAGGCTCCCGGCTGTGATGTTTACTACATATGGGGCAAGACAGCAAGTGAGTCAATTTTAATATACATAAAGTGTGTGTGGGGGGGGATTAAGACATGAGGGGGAAAGTTGATTAGTGGGGAGTTTATTCCCCTTCTTCAGGCCCTCTCCACATATCTGCGATAGTAACTCAGGGCAACACTTTCTCTGCAAAACAAGGGGAAATTGTTGCAGATTAAAAGGGTAGGAAACACCGCATAATCCAAGGTTTTTATATGTTGTGTATTATTAGTGAGAAAATAAGGCAACATCAGAGGGATAATCTTCAAGAATTTGAGAGGGGGGAGAGAAGGAGGGGGAGAAAGAAAGAACATTCTGTTTTTACGCCCCCTCAGAAACATCAGGGCAGCTTGAAAATGGGGGGCATTGCTGAATTTTGAACAAACAGATATTTTCTTTCAAGTATTTACTAGAATCAAACCAATTAAAAAATGTTTAAACTATCTGAATAAAAGTCCCTTCTCCTCTCAATCAAGTCATACAGCACCAAATTTTCACAGGCTCTGAGCACTCATAACTACCACTGATTTCTGGTGCAGTGATGGAAAATCTGGCTCTGAGGTACTACGGGGATTAGTGCTAAAAAAAATCCTGAGATAAGGCAAATTAAAATTGATTCTATTTCTTCAATGCTACAGATCTACTGGTTCTCCAGGGTGCCATAGCCTCTCTTAGGGTACTTAAGACAAGAACTTACAATACTTACAAACAAACATAGCAGGGGAGAAGAAAAAAAACCTTTGGACCTTTTTACTGATCATAAAAAAGCAAAAAGGGTCACAAAACTGGCCAGTTTGTTCTTCGGCAGGCCACCTTTAAAAACCCTGGGTACACCATCTGACTCGCTGTTCTGGCTGGAAGCAACAGAAGCTAAGTAAACTGGCTAAACTTGTAATCAGAACTCTCTGCCACCGTGTAGTCGCTCTAATAAATAACATGCGGAGGGGACAGGGAAAGTGCCAACACTAGGAGAGGAAATGTCTCCCTTTGGGGATGAAATGTGACAGACCTTTTCTCCCCAGCAAAACATCACTATTTTTAAAGCCACTATTAAGGCCTGGGTGTGTCAAACAGAGATTTATTAAGGGGCCCCCTTGCTCTGTGTGTGGCCTCAATAAAAAATAGTCAGTTTGCTCAGATGTGGGGGGGAGGGAGGGAGAGCAGGACCCTGATGCTTCCAAGAGATCTGTGTGCAGCATTTCAGGGACCGTCGCATTATTCCCAGCAAGAGGTGTGCGTGATGAAAGGTTCATAAACACAAACATGCTCCACGTCATGCTGGGCCTGACATGTCGGACAAAGCAAACACATCACTGCCAACACTTCCATGTTGGGTAGATTTGTCTGTCTGGCAACGCAGGCTTTGAGGGTGGAGGGGCTGGGAAGGGGGTTAGATTAGATAAAGGAGGAATAAAGCCCTCCTTCTCCTGTGTCCCCTCTGCTACTTGCTCTTCTCCTCTCCCTGTTACTTGTTAAACCTACCACATTTCAAACTGTCTCTCCCTCCCCTCCCCTTCCTTCCTTCCTGTTCTCTCCATCTTATTTTCATCCTTTCCCATCCTGGCAACTCTGCTCCCCAGAGATACAGCGGAGAAACCCCTCCGGGGGCCTGTTTATGACCCCGCAGCCATCCCTTTCTCACTATTTTCCTCCCATTCCCAGGTTTGCTCCTTGACCAGACAGCAAGTGTGAAAAATTGGGACAGGAGATGGGGGGTAACAGGAGCCTATATAAGAAAAAGATCCCAAAATCGGGACATCTGGTCACCCTAGCTGAAGGCAGCACCCCCCTTGCCCGTTTGCTCGGCTCTGATCCCTCCTACATACATATTAACAAGAGAGCTGATTCCCCAGGGTGCAAGATCTGAGGCTCCTGGGGCAGACAGTCACTTTCCTGCCCATCCCCAGCCCTTTCAACCTCTCCCTCACTCCCCGGGGGTCTCTGCCTCAGGAGTTAATCCCAGCAAAGATGGCGGCAGCAGAAAGCCTTGCAACAGGCTGCACAGACAGGCTCCTGTTCTTTAATCTCCCTGCAGCCATCACAAGCACTGTCAGCCAAAACATTCCAGTGACCCAATTTTGGGTCCCGATCCACAAGTTGGAAAGTCTGGTCTAGAGCACATGGAGCCCCCTCCCCAAGGCATGGGAGCATGTGTAATTCTGTGTGCAAGTAAATGACAGAAAGGTAGGAGATGTGTCATTCCATGTGTAACAATCTACAGAATTGTAATTTCAGTTGTCTCACCCTCTGCGCTGTGGCGGGGGGACTCGGTGTCACCCGGCTCCCAGGTCCTCCAGTTGCTGGACATTTTTACTACAGTGTCATCGGAACTGGGCTGAGTTGGGCATCACTCGAAAAGCCTCCCTCCCATGAACATGCATGTACCAAGCACGTTTGTAATTTGTTTAAATTATACTTTAACACAGGCACATCGTCCCAGGCAGCCTCACAAAGATAAACTGTGGCCCTTGACCGACGATCCTGTGACAAGGTGGGTGAGGTCATATCTTTTACTGGGCCAACTTCAGTGAAGGTGCTGCAAAGAAGGGCTGTCTTAGAAAAAAAGAGGAGTGGGTATTTGGGGGGACATGGTCTTAAACTGCTACAAGGAAGGCTTGGGTTGGACATTAGGAAAAACTTTCTAACTGTCAGGGTAGTTAAGCACTGGAACAAATTGCCTAGGGAGGTTGTGGACTCTCCGTCACTGGAGGTTTTTAAGAACAGGTTAGACAAACACCCATCAGGAATGGTATAGTTATTACCAGAGAGCCATGACGTCCATAGGACGGATTGGGGCAGACACCCCGGGCCCTGCGCTTTGGGTGGCCCTGCTCCTCCACCGCACCCCCGCCTCAGGAGGACCTGGCAGGGCCAGGGCAGTGCAGGAGCAGGGGTCAGCAGCCGTGCTACCAGCCTGGCCCTGCTGCGCCCTGCCAGCTCCTGGCATCGCTCGGAGGCAGGGCTTGGGGGAAGGGGTGGAGTAGGGGCGGGGCCTAGAGTGGAGTGTGGGGGGTTGTCCCGGGCCCCGCACCCCCCCTAGGGATGGCCCTGGTTATTACATGGTCTTACCATGAGTGCAGGGGACTGGACTAGATGACCTTTGAGGTCCCTTCCAGTCCTACACTTCTATGATTCTATGCCATATTTTCTCTTTTCTGCCTTTTTCCCCCTTTCTTGCTGTTTTAAAACTTTCCCGGTTATCTCTGAAAGGTGGCTGTACCTCTGTAATATGTAACTAGGTCTATGATTATAGTTTCTCTTTCTATCACTCATATTTGGTCACCTTTGTGAAATTGTTTAATCAACTTTATTTAGAATGGCATTAACCACAGACTTCATGCATCTGATGAAGTGGGTTTTAGCCCACAAAAGCTTATGCCCAAATAAATTTGTTAGTCTCTAAGGTGCCGCAGGATTGCTCGTTGTATTAACCGCATTAAAATTATTTTTTTCTAATGCTTCTATATATGTATTAATACTTCTTTATGCTGCTGTTACCAAGGTGTGGGCTATAATACAGACTTACATCAATCCACACCCCGAACGACATTGTTATATCAACCTAACCCCTAGAGTAGCCAAAGCAAGGTCGGTGGGAGGGTCTCCCTTCTCCTCTCCTGGAGGTGGATTCACTATGCCAATGGGAAAGCTCTCTCCCTTCCCCCTAGAACGTCTTTACATTAAAGTACTGCATCTCTGCCAAAGCAGGGTTTTAGGTGTAGGCCTGCCCTAAGGTTTTGTCAATTATTTAATGACTATTTAGAAATGCAGGGACTGCATTAAAATTCGCTTTTGCTAAGAATGCATGTTAGCAATGTATTCTTCTGCCATTAAGACAAGGAACACCTGTCTGCTGGACTTCATTTAGAATTGCACTAAATGTACAGAATCCCCATATTTTTTCTCAGAAAATGGCATAAACGCTATATTTATGCCTTTAATTGCAACGCTCCCAATAAGGCTACATTCGGTGGAGAAGGGACGCGCAGGAGGGCTGCTTTATACCCCAGCTGAGCGCTCTGACACTGGGCTAAACGCCGCCTCTTCCTTGCGAACACGGCACAGGCCCGAAGGCCAAGACAGGGCTGCAGGGGAGACCCCCACGCAGGGGGTGCCGCCTCCCTACGCCCAGGATTTCGGAACCTCTCCCCAAGAGCCGAGCGGGGCCCAGTCGCATTTAAAAAAACAGGTCTGCAGCCTGCCCAGGTCCACAAAAATATCTAATCACCCACTGAAATCAGGGGACAATAATCCCGGAGGGTGGGATTTTATAGGGACAGTCCCGATAGTCCGGGCTTTTTCTGATACAGGTGCCTATTACGCCCCTCGCACACACACTCTGTCCCGATTTTTCACACTTGCTACCTGGCCACCCCCATAGGAGCCGAAATACCTTTGCGGCCCGGGCCCAGTGAATGGCCCAGCGTCGCACCCAGGCTGGAGCGGAGCTCAGACCCCAGCAGCCCTCTCCCGAAGTCCAAGTCAGGGCTCTAGCCGTGGGGCAGTTTAACCAGAGACTGTGGAGGGGTCCGTCCCGGGGCCCCATAACCCGCCGCCGCCCCCCCCCGGGGGCCCCATAACCCGCCCCCCCCGGCAGGCGGGTTTCTCCCCGCGGCAGGCGGGGGCCGAGTCTCGCTCACCTTTGGGGGGCGCGGGGGGTCCCCGCGAGGAGACGGGCCTGGGCCGGGCCAGCAGCAGCGGGGGGGTTGCGGGACACGGGCGGGGCCAGCAGCAGCAGCGGGGTTGCGGGGCCGGGCTGAACGCGGCAGTGAATCCGATTCACTTCCTGCCCAGGGACCCGTTTCCACGGGACACGGAGCCCGCGGCTGCCTCCATTGTGGGCTGGGCTCACAGCCGGGCGGAGCCGCTGCTGGACCCCGCGGGGGGTGCGGGAGAGCCCGGCACGGACCCCCCCTCTGGGCCCGGCCAGGGGGACCAGCCCCGGGCTCTGCCCGCCCCAGCCCCCACCCGGAGCCCGCAGGTGAGGGGCGGAGGCAGCAGGAGCCATGGGGGGGGGAAGGAGGTTCCCGGCTCCGCTCCCCCCCCATTCCCTGCAGCCCCCCGCCGCGGGGCAGTGCCTGGCCTGGGGGCGGGGAGAGGAAAAGCCAGGTCCTGCCTCTGCCCGGTCCCCGCTGCTGGGGGGACGCGCTGCCCGGGGTCGCCCGGAGCGGCTCCTCGGTCCTGCTCCGTCCCTGCCGGGCCAGTGTCCGCTGCAGCGTTTCCGTCTGCAGGGGCCTGTTGAATGGGCTTCTCCCCCCGTCCAGGTCCCCAGCTGCATCTCCGGTGGAGGCAGCCCGGTGTGCATCCTTCGGGCTGGACTCCTCTGTCCCGGGAGGCATGCTTGGAAGGTGGGAGGCACGTACAAAACAGCAGCGGTTTGGGGGGGGGGGGGTAATATTTTTCTAATTAAAAAAATCTCTTTTCCGTCCCAGCAACGTTAGTGCCGTCGGCTCTGCATTCTACCACGAGCCTCCCGGGGCGGGACAAGCCGGGCTCTCGGACCCAGACCCGGACCCCGGGGCGGGACGGGACAAGCCGGGCTCTCGGACCCGGACCCCGGGGCGGGACAAGCCGGGCTCTCAGACCCGGACCCGGACCCCGGGGCGGGACAAGCCGGGCTCTCGGACCCGGACCCGGACCCCGGGGCGGGACAAGCCGGGCTCTCGGACCCGGACCCGGACCCCGGGGCGGGACAAGCCGGGCTCTCGGACCCGGACCCGGACCCCGGGGCGGGACAAGCCGGGCTCTCAGACTCGGACCCGGACCCCGGGGCGGGACAAGCCGGGCTCTCAGACCTGGACCCGGACCCCGGGGCGGGACAAGCCGGGCTCTCAGACTCGGACCCGGACCCCGGGGCGGGACAAGCCGGGCTCTCAGACCTGGACCCCGGTCCGGCAGCCTCAGCACTTTTTCACAAGTCTGAACTGAGCCGTTTCCGTGGGACCGCGGAGTCTGGACCGTCCGTCCGCAGGGGAAGAGTCTGGGAGAAATGGAGGGTTTCACTGGACACAAGCCCCTTCTGAAATCTCCGGTTTCCCTTCTCACCCTGCCAGGCTGCAGGATCACGTCCCCGTTTCGCTGGTGATGGTCCCATCCTGCCAGGTGCGCGGGAAGGGAAATGGCTGCGGCGGACCCGGTGACCTTCCAGGAGGTGGCTGTGTGTTTCACGGAGGAGGAATGGGCCCTGCTGGACCCGGCTCAGAGGGCCCTGTACAGGGACGTCATGCAGGAGAACTATGAGGCCGTGACCTGGCTGGGTAAGGATTCCTGTCCCCTGGGTGTGAGAAGCATCTGGGTCAGAGTCTGTGCAGGAATCTTCACTGGTCCCCCAGAATTCAGGGGGATCAGGCCATGTAATTTGCAGCTCCTTTGTGTAAGATACTGTCCCTGGGTCAGGGAATGTTCTGTACGTCAGTAGCCATAAGCTGATTATTGTGGGGAGAAATGGAAATTTATTTGGGGGTGAGGGATGGGGACAGATGCAGGAAGGCAAGTGGTAGGTGGAGGGGAATGGGAGTTAGGGGGAGGGGTAATAGGGGGCACAGAGAATCCCTGACAGGGGAGAGATGACTTGAGAGTGGGGGGAGATGGCGTATAGGCAATAGGGGGCAGGGGGGATGGGGAGAGGGGGAAATGGGGACACATAGAGTCTTTGCCATGGAGTAGAATGAGGAGCCCTGCTATGGGAGGGGGAGGGAAAGGGGCACACAACACAAACCCTGGAAGGGGGTGACGGGGTGGAAGGAGTCTCCGGTGTGTGCAGTGAGCTTGGTCTGCACAAGCAGCGAGGTGTGCGACCAGAGTGATGCAGAAGAATTGTGGGGGCTGTTCTCTGCACAGACACAAGAGAGGAAGGCTGCTCTCCTGTGTCAGGAACCGGGCTGGTACTCAGGAGATGGGTAGATCCCTGGTTGTACCACAGACTCCCTGTCTGGGCTCTTGGCAGTCACTTAGGCTGGTTTCAGAGGGTCCAGAGGGAGGTGACTTGCACACCTCTCCCATTATGCTGCTTTGAAAGTCCCAGCTGTGATCTCTCTGGGCCTCAGTTTCCCTTCTGTGAAGTGGAGACAGCGAAAGCCCTTTGGGGCAGGGATTGTGTCTCACTGTGTGAATGTTGGGGGCCTGCTGTCAGAGGAAGGGTGACCCAGTGGTTGGGGCACTGACCTGATGCTCTGGAGACCCGAGTTCAATTCCCTGCTCTGCCCTGACATCGTGCCTGACCTTATGCTAATAACCTGGGGCTAGATTCAGAGAGAAACTTAGCTGTGGTGACACTGAGTGTTGCCAGGTCTAGCTGCTGGGACTCACAAAGCCTGCATTATGAGCCTGCGCTCCCTGTAGTGAGGAGAGATGGCACATCTGGATGGGATTCGCAACAGCCAGCAGCCTAGGTGGCTCCTCCCCTAACCTCGCCAGCTAGAGATGCCCAACAGAGGGGTGTTTGCTTAGCCCTGCCCCTCTCTCTGAAAGAAACGCCTAAATCCCGTCTCGCTCTGCCTTGGAGTCTCAGCTGCAAGTGTGGGCTGTGGGTGATCTCCGGCTCCAGCTCCCTCTGTGCCAGAGATCTCTGTTTGGTGTCTTGTAGTCCTCAGACCCTGTGCTAATGGTACAAGGACAGACAGATAAGTACCACTGACAGCACAAAGGGGCCCTTATTCCAGCTGGGGATTCCAGCTGCTGCTGTAGTTGATACTCTCTTTCCTTCCTGCAGTGGCAAAGGGTAATAAGAATTTCTTGTGCCAAACTTTCTGTCTCTGCTGGGGTTCCTCATCGTCAATGCTCTTCTGTTCTCCCTCCCCGCTTTAGGGGCTGCAGAAGCCCCAGGACTGCAGAGGTCTGTATGGAGGGGCTCCGCAGTGCCAGACGGTGGACAGCAGCAGTGGGGAACTGATTGTCATGCCTGGCTAATTCTTTTGCTCCTGGTGGCTGTGTGGAGTTTGCATTCAGTCAATGCTGCCATTGTTTGAGGTTCACGAATTTCCAGCAGTGAAGCATGATGGGAACGGAACAGATTTACAGGGCTTTGTGTCTGCATTGGAGTAAAGCTGTGAGCGGAGAAGTTACTCCGGGTCTCTGGGGCTGTGGTGCATAGAGTAGCTCGAGTGGCTATAAAGGGCAGTTCTGGCGTTTGACATCCGTGCCCAGTCCAGGGTGTAGCTGGCTGCGCTGTGGGAGCAGAGATTTCCCGGAAGGAAATGAGCTGGACAGACCTGAGGGGAGGTTTTGTGCTGCTGTGTCTGAGGAATTTTCTGTAAGGTTGTCACTATCTCCAGCACCATGAGCCTGGTTTATCACCATGTCAGACAGTGTCTCTGTCCCCTGCTACGGGGAGCTTTTGGGAATCTGTGGCTCTGGAAAGGGCCAAAGGGTTGTGGTGGAAGCCATCTGAATATGAGCCTCCAGTGTGATGCTGTAGCTAAGAGAGTTAATGTGATCCTGGGGAAGCTAAACAGAGGACTATGAAGTAGCAGTAATGAGGGGCACCTCATTAGTTTGTCATATGGCATTAATTAGACCATTAGTGGGAACTGCGTCTAGTCCTCGTGTTCACACTGCAGAAAGGATGTTGACAAATTAGCACGGGTTTAGAAATGAGCTACAAGAATGATTAGAGGACTAGATAACCTGCTTTATAGTTTCATAGTTTTTAAGGCCTAATCGGATCATTGTGATAATCTTGTCTGGCCTCCTCTGTTACACAGGTCAATAGGAGTTACCTGAATTAATTCCTGTTTAAACAAGGTGATTCTTTTGGAATAAAACTCCATTCTTGATATAAAAATTTTCAGTGATGGAGAAACCACCAGAGCCCTGGGTAAGTTTTGTCCAATGGTCAGTTAGCCTCACCGTGAACTTTACAACTTATTTCAAATTTTAATATCTCTAGCTTTTACTTCCAGCCATTGGCTCTTGTACTTTTGTCTGCTGGAATGAAGCACGATCTATTGTTTTAATTTCTGTTCCCTGTGTAGGGACTTTTAGATTGTTATCAAGTCACCCCTTAATCTTTTTTTTTGATAGGCTAGATAGGTTGAGCTCCTTTATAGGCCGTTTTCCGATCCTTTTATAATTCTTGTGGCTCTTCTTTGAGGCCTCTCTCTAATTTTTCAGCACCCTTCTTTAATTGTGAGCACAACCCTAGTTTGCAATTACATATTTAGACCTATTAGTTAGCCCCTTTAATGTGTGCCACATTTGTTTTGTATCATTCTAGTTTTGTTAATTTTGTTTTTTCTAGATTTGTTAATCAAAATGGCATGAGCTACCAAGTCAAATGTCTGAGGACCGGATTTTAACTATATTGAACTGTCCAACTCCAATTGGGAGTACAGTAAATGAACACTAACTGTATTACATTAACATACTCTATTTATCAATCAAACATGTAATCTCATCAAAAAAGGATACCAGGTTAATTTAGTATTTATTGACCCCTTCTCCTTTTTTCTGCATTATCATTCTACCCTTTCCATATAGTAATGTACTTTTAAAAGTTCCTTCTTATGCTCCTTTATTCTGCAGACTAGAGAGTTTTCTTTGTGTCACTTTGCTTCCCTTATCAATTTTCTACAATTCCCAATTTCTAATATATATATGCTTTTGTTTCCCATTTAGCTGGTGGTTGTTGGTTAATTTACTATACAATATGTCCTTCCTTCTTCTTTGCAGAATTGTGGCTTTTTTGGAAATCTACTGAAATGTTATTGAACAGTTCTACACACGCATTTGCATTTGTCTGTTATAAGTTCATTCTCCCAGCAGATTTGCCACATAGTTGTTTGTAGCTTTGTGAAACTGAAGTGAGCTGTAGCTCACAAAAGCTTATGCTCAAATAAATTTGGTAGTCTCTAAGGTGCCACAAGTACTCCTTTTCTTTTTGTGAATACAGACTAACACGGCTGCTACTCTGAAACCTTTCTAAAGTGTGTGTCTGTTTTTGTGTGTATAGATATAAATATATTCTTGGTTTAGAGTTGGTTCCATTTCCACATAACAAATGCAATCTGAGCAATGCGGAGTGAGCTGCATTGCCATGTTTGAGCATTACCTTTGGATTAAATTCTCCTTTGTAACTGAAAGGTGTTAATAAATTGCACTGCAAATAAAATAAATAAATAATGGAATTCTGCAGTATCACCAAAGAAGGAGTGAACTCTTTCATATACTTTAACATCTCTTTTTCAAAATGTCTGTGTACTGTGAGTTAGGCTATTTGCTCATAATAACGCTACGACAGAGGAGTTTAATGAAACGTTGATCGATTACAGATTTTTTTTTCTTTTTCTGTAGGTGGTGGGTAAAATCCTTATACTGTGGTAATTTTTGCAATGTTGAAGGAACTGGGCAGGTTTAGTCTATAAGAGAGAAGGCTGTAGGGGCACATGATAACAGACCTCAAGTATGTAACAGGCCTTTAAATAGAGAAGGGTGATGAACTGTATCATATGTTCACCAAGGGGCAGGACAAAAAGGTATGAAGCAGTGGAGATTTCAGTGAGATATTAGGAAAAACTTTCTAATGCTAATGGATATATTGTCACTGGAGAAGGTGGTGTGGGGAGGTTGTGGAATCACTGGAGGTTTTAAAGAGGAGTTGAGAGAGACCTGTTATTAATGGTGAAGTTTGCTTAATCCTCATTAAGCATGGGGGGAGAGTGCGGGGGGCTGGACTAGATGACCTCCTGAGGTCACTGCCAGCCTTACATTTCTGTTGTTTTGTTTCCAGTTCCTCTTTCTCTATGGAGATGAAGTCTGCCGTAGAGTTCCCCTGTGTTGGATGTAACACCTTTGGAGTTAGACATTTTCATCTTTTTAAAGAAATTCTGAGGGCACTTTATAGTGAGAGACTTAATGAGCTCAATCTATTTATCTCAACAAAGAGAAGGTTGAGTTCTGAGCAGTCCTATTGAACATGTTCATACATTATCTGGAAAAAGGGGTAAACAATGAGGTGGCAAAATTTGCAGATGATACAAAATTAGTAAAGATAGTTAAGACTAGGGTGACCAGTCAGCAAGCGTGAAAAATTGGGACAGGGGTGGGGGGTAATAGGAGCCTATATAAGAAAAAGACCCAAAAATCAGGACTGTCCCTATAAAATCGAGACATCTGGTCACCCTAGTTAAGACCCAGGCAGACTGTGAAGAGCTACAAAAGGATCTCTCAAAACTGAGTGACTGGACAACAAAATAGCAGATGAAATTTAATGTTGATAAATGCAAAGTAATGCACATTGGAAAGCATAATCCCAACTATACATATAAAATGATGGGGTCGAAATTAGCTGTTACCACTCAAGAAAGAGACCTTGGAGTTATTGTGGATAGATCTCTGAAATCATCCACTCAATGTGCAGCGGCAGTCAAAAAAGCAAACAGAATGCTGGGAACAATTAAGAAAGGGATAGATAATAGGACAGAAAATATCATCTTGCCTCTATATAAATCCATGGTACTCCCACATCTTGAATACTGTGTGCAGATGTGTTCGCGCCATTTCAAAAAAGATATATTGGAATTGGAAAAGGTTCAGAAAAGGGCAAGAAAAATGATTAGGGGTATGGAATTGCTCCCATATGAGATTAATGAGACCAGGGCTTTTCAGCTTGGAAAAGAGACGGCTAAGGGGAGATATGATTGAGGTCTATAAAATCATGACTGGTGTAGAGAAAGTAGATAAGGAAGTGTTGTTTACTGCTTCTCATAACACAAGAACTATGGGTGACCAAATGAAATTAATAGGCAGAAGGTTTAAAAAGAAATAAAAGGAAGTATTTTTTCACACAACGCACAGTCAACTCGTGGAACTCTTTGCCAGGGGATGTTTTGTGAACAGGGACCGCTAACGGAGTTTCGAGAGGGAGTTCTCCAGGTGAAGGAGGAGCAAATACGGGACCCTTGGAGTAAGTGGCTGTCTGTAGTGTGTGTTTGTGTTTGGGGGTTACTTGCTGTGTGCTGAGCTTGTGTTTTGTCTGTCTGTCTGTCTGTCTGTTTGTTTGAAGGACTGTGTGCTGTGGCCAGCATTTGGAAGCTGTGAGCTTCTAAATAAGGTTTGAAATCTAGAAGTTTCTGTTCAGTGGCTGAGACTTCGTTAGGGGGCCAGGCTATCAAGGAGGCTATCACTGCTATAAAGCAGTGAGCAAGCGACCAGGGGAGTTTCGAGAGGGAGTTTGGCAGGGGAGTGGGAAGGGGGCGAGATACACTTGCCATTCTTTAAAACCTTTTAACTAAACTATAATGAAAACTTCTTGATTTAAACAAAAACCCTATCATTAACCTAGGTAGCTGTAGGAGAAAATGCAGGCAGAAGTCCAGCAGCAGAGTGGGGGCTATCCTGTTTATTGCACTCAGTGTAGCATGCATGATTACCTGCCCTGTGGGCAGGTGGCATATGTGTGCATTTGGTGCAAGGAGCTCCTGGCCCTCAGAGATCGCGTACAGGCTTTGGAGGCCAGGGTGGAGGAACTGGAGGAGCTAAGGGAGGCAGAGAGGTATGTTGATGAGGCTTTCTGGGACACCGTAGATTTGTCCCACCATCGGTCAGACAGCCCCTGCGCTGTTGAGGAGGATGAAAGACCCAGAGAAGGAGAGCAGTCAACGGAAACAGAGGGAAACCTTCCCATAGTGAGGACCCTCCTTCCAGATGATGTTGGGGTATCCTCTCACACTGAGGTTACCGCTCCGGGGGAGGAAACTCCAGTCATTAGGAAAAGGCAGGTGTTAGTAATGGGAGATTCAATCATTAGAGACAAGGACAGCTGGGTTTGTGATGACAGGGAGAATCGTATGGTGACTTGCCTGCCTGGTGCGAAGGTTGCGGATCTCTCGAGGCATCTAGATAAACTTATGCGTAGTGCTGGGGAGGAGCCGGTGGTCATGGTACGTGTAGGTACCAATGACGAAGGGAAGGGTAGGAGAGACGTCCTGGAGGACAAATTTAGGCTGCTAGGAAAGAGACTGAAATCCAGGACCTCTAGGGTGGCATTCTCAGAAATGCTTCCAGTTCCAGGCACAGGGCCAGGTGGGCAGGCAGAGCTTCGGAGTCTCAATGCGTGGATGAGACAATGGTGTAGAGAGGAGGGTTTAGATTAATTAGGAACTGGGGAAACTTTTGGGATGGGGGAGCCTATACAGGAAGGATGGGCTCCACCTAAACCAAAGTGGATCCAGACTGCTGGCACTTAACATTAAAAAGGTTGCAGAGCCGTTTTTAAACTAAGAGATGGGGGAAAGCCGATCGCTGCAGAGGCACACGTGGATCGGACAGAGACGTCTCTTCTCAGAGAGTCTATTGATAGAGATTCTCTAGGTTTTAGTCAGGAGGAGAGGCTGGAAGAGGATAAAGTATGGGCCAGATCAGACGAGAAACATTCACATCAGAAAAGAGCAGACAAATGAACAGTGACAAGTTTTTAAAGTGCTTGTACACAAATGCTAGAAGTCTAAATAATAAGATGGGTGAACTAGAGTGCCTCGTGTTAAAGGAGAATATTGATATAATAGGCATCACAGAAACCTGGTGGAGTGAGGAAAATCAATGGGACACAATCATTCCGGGGTACTAAATATATCAGAAGGACAGAACAGGTCGTGCGGGGGTGGGAGTGGCACTATATGTGAAAGAAAATGTAGAATCAAATGAAATAAAAATCTTAAATGAATCCTGTCAGGGTTCCTTCCCCACTCTGAACTCTGGGATACAGATGTGGGGACCCACATGAAAGACCCCCCTAAGCTTATTTTTACCAGCTTAGGTTAAAAACTTCCCCAAGGCACAAATTCCACCTTGTCCTTGAACAATATGCTGGTGCCACCAAGTGATTCAGACAAAGAATCAGGGAAAGGAGCACTTGGAGTCCTATTTCCCCAAGCCCTACACCCTCTTTCCTGGGGAGGCTTGAGAATAATATCCTCACCAATTGGTACAGGTGAACACAGACCCAAACCCTTGGATCTTAAGACCAATGAAAAATCAATCAGGTTCTTAAAAGAAGAATTTTATTTAAAGAAAAGGTAAAAGAATCACCTCTGTAAAATCAGGATGGTAAATACTTTACAGAATAACAAAAGATTCAAAAACACAGAGGAACCCCCTCTAGCTTTAGTTTCAAAGTTACAGAGAAAAAAAAACAGGGATAAACCTCCCTCTAACAAAGGGAAAATTCACAAGTTGAAAACAAAAGGTAATCTAATGCGCCTTCCCTTATTTACTTACTCTTTTTGTAATATCAGAGACTTGTACAGGATGGTTTATAGGAGAAGGAGTTTTTGACCTGATGCTTCTCTGCTTTCCCCAGAGAACACACAAACAAAGCCTCCCTGCAGATTTGAAAGTATCTTCTTTCCCCATTGGTCCTTTTGGTCAGGTGCCAACCAGGTTATTTGAGCTTCTTAACCCCTTACAGGAAAGGAGGAATTCTAGGCTATCTTTAGCTGTATGGTTATGACAAATCCACATGTTCCATAGAATCTCCATGGATAGTAATTCCAGGCTCTAATAAGAATATAACAGTAGGGATGTATTATCGACCACCTGACCAGGACAGTGATAGTGACGATGAAATGCTAAGGGAGATTAGAGAGGTTATCAAAATAAAGAACTCAAAAATAGTGGGGGATTACAGTTATCTCCATATTGACTGGGTACATGTCACCTCAGGACAAAATGCAGAGACAAAATTTCTCTATACTTCAAATACTTTAAATGTTTTTTAAGTACATCAGAAGCAGGAAGCCTGCTAAACAACCAGTGGGGCCTCTGGATGATTGAGATACAAAAGGAGCACTTAAAGACGATAAAGTCATCGCAGAGAAACTAATAGAATTCTTTGCTTCAGTCTTCACGGCTAAGGATGTT